GATGGGAAGGCTCTGATGCTTGGTCTGCCCATCTTCCTATCATGGTCTTAAAATGTGCCTACCATTTGGTTGGATTCTTCATTAGGCCATTTGGTTGGATGAATAACGGTGGGGATGGAGGGGAAGGATGCTTTGAGCAAAGGAGACATAGCCCAGGAGCTAACGTGACGAAGTGCCCGCTTTCTCAGAGGGCCAAGACCTGGCTGCTGTGGCCGGAGCACACGAGCACAGGCCACCTCCGGGCAGCGCAGGGATAGAAGGATGTCACAGGCATGGACTAAAAGGCACCCAGGAGGGATTTCAGTTTGCCGGAAAAGGAGTTTTGTTCAAGATGCATGCTGAAGGCTGGGCAGAGAGTGTAAGGACAGAGCAGACAGCTCTCTGAAGGGATGATGGGAACCAGACAGATGGGTCCACATTCTTTCTAAGTGACCCCGCAGCCCCAGTTTTAGTGAATCTGTTACTGCGGCATCTCTCTGCTTCACTTTGGGGGGTTGTCTCTGCTTTGAATTCAAGTGAAATAGCCATGTGGAAGACAAACTACAAAGTTGTTGTTTTTTAAAAATATTTATTTATTTGGTTGCACCGGGTCTTAGTTGTGGTTTGCGAGCTCCTTAGTTGTGGCTCACCGGCTCCTTAGTTGTGGTATGCGAACTCTTAGTTGCGGCATGCATGTGGGATCTAGTTCTCTGACCAGGGATCAAACCCGGGCCCCCTGTACTGGGAGCACGGAGTCTTATCCACTGCGCCACCAGGGAAGTCCTGAAACTACAAAGTTTTAGGGGGGGAAAAAGAAACCCTCCTACTTTTAGCTGCTGCTGTGTCTGCATCCGTAAAAATTCTCTCCATGCCCCATGAATTTCAACAGGCAGTTTATCTCCTTTGTTCCATAAAACATTAGATGTGACTTTAATGGCCTAACCCCCAAACGATAACCTGACAGCCATCAAACATTCAGCAGCGTTCCAAATAACCTTCTGCTGGAGCCTGCCTTCTACGGGGCCATGTGGATGTCAGACACACACAGCTGGAGTCACGCTGACATAGCTGGCATGCCTGGACCGCAGTGGAATCTCGGGGGTACCAATCACAGGCCAGAGAGAAGCCATCGGCCAGAAGAAACGTCAGCGTGCTCACATCTCTGTAGAAGGAGCCGTGTTGATAGTGATGGAAATGACAGTTGCAGCCAGAGGGGGACCGTGACCCTGAAGCAGCGTGGGCACACACGTCAGTGATGCTGGCACTGTACAGAAGCATTCCGGGGGTTAGGGCCATGGCCACACACTTCTTCTCCTGACCCCCAACCAGAAAAATTAAGAAGAGAGCAGATTTTCCCCAAAAATACTTTCTGAATGGAATGCCCTGCCATCTTCAGGGGTTTGAGAAATCCAGAGTGGATAATAATGGCCCGAAATTCATTAAGCACTTAACATCTACCAGACAGTGTGCTGGGCATCTTAGGAAAAATTCATTTACTTCTCACTGCTCCATGGTGAGGTACTTTTCATAATTCCCACTTTAGGAAGGTGGAAACTGAGGCTAGAAAGGAGGAAGAAATGTACCCAAATTCCTTAACCAGTAACTGACAGAATCATGGACTTGAACCACAGTCATTCAAAAGCAAAGCCCAGGTTCCTGACCACGGTACTCAAAGCCACGTGGCGGGTCCACACACTCTGTGGCACCCACAGCAGCCACTGTCCCAGATAGAGGAGGTCTGTGTGTTGACCAGGTACAGGAAAATCCTTCGAAGGATTCTTTTTACTCCCCTGGTTTCCTGGGCGTTGGGCAGGCATGCTTAAACATGCTGTTCATTGAACCCTGGTTTTACTTCAAGACCCCTGGCTCAGCCCAGCGAGGGGATGTAAGGATGTAGGGGATGAGGCCACTGCCTTGGGGGAGGAGGGGGGCTGAGTTGCAGGCATTTTTTACATCTCTCTTGAGTTTGGTCATTACTTTTCTAGCCAGGGTTGATCATCCTTTCTTTTTTTCTTTCCTTCAAGATTCTTCTTCTTCTTCTTCTTTTTGTTTTTATGCTATAAACCTTTATCTGACTTACTACATGTCAATTATGGTGCTAACATAAAACCATTAGCAGGCAGCATCTCTTTGGTCCTCCAACAGTCAAGTGAAGTAGGTGCTGTGATTATCCTCATTTTAAGAAGATGAAGAGGGCTTCCCTGGTGGTGCAGTGGTTGAGAGTCTGCCTGCCGATGCAGGGGACACGGGTTCGTGCCCCGGTCCGGGAAGATCCCGCATGCTGTGGAGCAGCTGGGCCCGTGAGCCATGGCCACTGAGCCTGCGCGTCCGGAGCCTGTGCTCCGCAACGGGAGAGGCCACAGCCGTGAGAGGCCCACGTACCGCAAAAAAAAAGAAGATGAAGAAACAGGGGCTCAGAGAGGTTAAGTGATGCCTGATTCAGTTCTCTGGTCTCTTAACCACACGGTCACAACCAGACTGTATACTAATAGGGCCTTCACTCTGCACAAGACACCGTTCAAATACTTCTTTTATAGTAACTTGTTCAGTCCTCACAGCAACACCGTGCAGGGGCGCTATTATCCCTGTTTAACAGATGGGGAAACTGAGGCACAGAACGGGTATGTCCTTTGCCCAGGCTCACCCTGCTGGTAAGTGGCAGAGCTGAGATTATGCTTCACTGCTTATATTTTGTGATGAAACAGGAAGACATTCCTCAGTTTGGGTTTTGTTTTTCCCTTGAAATCTTCTGCGAGGGCCGGGGGTGGGATGCCAGGGTTCTGAGAATAGAGTCTCTGAGCTGCACTGCGAAGGGGTGCCAGGGATGGCCAAGCCCCTGGAGCTCTGGAGATGGAGGGCGGTGGGGAGGGTGATGAGACAGCAGCCACAAGCCTGGGGTTTTGCCAGGGAAGACCTCAAAGCCCACTGGCGGGTTGGCACCCCTGAGCTGGGCAGCGCACCAAAACGAGTCGTGGCTTCGAGGAGACCAGTAGAACATGGTCCTCGGGAGAAGAGAAAGCCTGGGGGAAGGACTGGCACGACCTCAGCCTTCAGATCTGAGAAGGGCTGTTCTGTGGACGAGGGGACGTAGGGAGCAGCTCTCCCAAGAGCCAGCCAAGAAAAAGTAGGTTTCTGTTCGGGCAGCACCAGTGGGATTTCAGGGAGAAAGAGGAATTCAACCTGGCAACCCTGGCAGAGGGTGGCCACGGGACCTTGCCCAGAGGAGGGGCCTCTAGAGAGAGGACATGGGCCACCCTGAAGCTGACCTCTTCAGCGCCTCTGCCTTCTGAAACCCTACCCATCTTTGAAGCCTTGGCTGCACGGGCACCTCCTCCATGAAGCCCTTCCTGACCAACCCGTAGAATGCACAGTTCTGTTCCAGGGGTATAAAGCCTAGGTACTCTGAGGTCCAGGCCAGTCCACGTTCATTCAGAGCAGGGGTCCCCAGTGGGCCGAGGTTCAGACCAGACGTTCCGGTGATAAAAGCCTCAGATACCCTGGAAGCCAGCCTAGTCAGTCCCGGGACCTCTCTCCCTAGAAACCCCATTCTTACAGCAAACGTACCCTCCCTACCATCCAGCTGGCCTTGGGCACTGATGTCTTGCTGCCTCTCTGGTACAGTGTCTCCTGGCCATAGCAGCTTCTTGCACGAATGCATCTCTCAGAGGCTCACAAGACAGTTAACGGAGCACCTAGCATGTACCAGGCACTATGTCCAGGGATTATCTCATTTAATCCTTCCAACAACCCTACGAGTCGGTGTTATTATTGCCGTATTACAGAGGAGGAACCCGAGGCCCCAGTCCTTGGCAGCTAAGGAGCCAGCTGGCCCTGGACCACAGTGTTGAAACCCCAGTCAGGCATGAGAGTCTGGGATTTGCCTCCAACTTGTCCTCAACAAGACCACATCAAGGACCTTCTTGGTACCTCCTATAGCTCCTAGTGAGTGCCTCTGCGGAGTAGTTGCTCAAGAAACATTGGCTAATTGATTGTTCAAAGACGTGTCTAGTCTGCTTTTCCGGTAATCCATGAGTTCGGGTGCTTTTGAGAGGAGAAAATAGCGTTGAGCCCTTGCTAGACAAAAGCCAGGTACTTCTTGGGAGAAGTGAGAGGTTTGCAGGCAGAGTCCTAGAAAATTTTATTCCAAGTCTTCAAGGTGACCGTGACACAATAAAAATATATGTATTTGGTCTCTGTCCCTGATTGCTGACACAGAGCTCCTAACTCCCTTGGAATTTCCTGAGTGATAAGAGTGTCTTTTGTTCCCATGAGGCCACTCTTGGTGGGTCCCTCGAGAGCTTCAGGATGGAGGCTGGTCACCAAGAAGACCAAGGTCATGGTTAGAGGGTTGGAACTTTGTGTCCCATCCCCCTACCTCCTGGGAGGGGAGGGGGCTGGAGACTGAGTTCATCACCAGTGGCCGATGTAATCAATCACGCCTGGGAAGGTGGTGCATCTCAGCTCCAAGGGGACAGAAGTTCCTGTGCCTGGGTTCCTTCCAGACCTCACCCTCTGTACCTCTTCTTCTGGCTGTCCATTTGTATCCTTCATAATATCCTTTATAATAAACCGGTAATAGCAAGTAAACTGTTCCTGAGTTCTGTGAGCTGTTCTAGCAATGATCAAACCTGAGGAGGGGGTCGTGGGAACCCCTGAATTTATGGCCGATTGGTCAGGAGTCCCAGTGGCAACCTGGGACTTGTGACCGGCATCTGAGGTGGGGAAGTCTTGTTGGCTGAGCCCTTCACCTTCGGGGTGTGCGCTAAGTCTAGGTGGTCACAGTCAGAGTTGTATTGAACTGTCAGACACCCAGTTGGTGTCTAGAGAGTTGGAGAGTTGGTTGGTTGGGGGATAAACCCCACAGATTTGGCATCAGAAGTGCTGCGGGTGAACAGTCTATAGTAGCAAAGAGAAACGTGAGGCTTTCAGCAAGACAGCGCACATCAGTTGACTGAGTGACGCAGCCAAAATCCAAAACATTTTATTAACTGCTGTCCTTTTCTTCTGTCCTCCACTTGTAGGAGGACATATGAGAAAACTGGCTCCTACAGGATTGATGTTGAAAATTCACCTTCCAGAAGATGCCCGGGCATCCATGTAGACTGGACTTGGTCTCTACCCTCTCTGTCCTGGGCAGTCAGACCTGGTGCCTGGTGGTGACCTCGAGCCAGAAGAAGCCTCTCGCCAAGATCACCAAGAAGGAGGCATTTGTTTCTCCGTGCTGGCTAAGCTAGGAAAGCCTGGCTTTGAGAGGTTTTTTGTAACAAGAATTGAAACCTAAAGGATTTTTTTTCAAATTATCCTTCAGGGGCTTCCCTGGTGGCGCAGTGGTTGGGAGTCCGCCTGCTGATGCAGGGGACACGGGTTTGTGCCCCGGTCCGGGAGGATCCCACATGCCGCGGAGCCGCTGGGCCCGTGAGCCATGGCCACTGAGCCTGCGCATCCGGAGCCTGTGCTCCACAACGAGAGAGGCCACAGCAGTGAGAGGCCCGCGTACCGCAAAAAAAAAAAAAAATTATCCTTCAGCTGCCAGAAATGGAGTTTGGAAGAACTTCTCCAAACTCTGTGGACTTTGGCCAATGGACCTTTTACTGTAACAAGTACATCAGAAGCCAATAAATTGGGGAAGAAGGTACACACTTTACCAAAAGATTTCTTGCTGAGCTAGACACTCTCCCACCGTGCATCTTTAAACTGAGAGCAATTCGGACACATTTTAAATGGCTTCATTCACTTGAAAGTGAGAGCTGTCTGTTGCATTCAGAAAATCTGGTGAAGTGTACTTGATTTTGAAACCCTCAAAAATCATATCACATTCAAGCTAAAAATGGCACTTGAGTCTTTCTCCTCCGTTTAAAGGAGATGACACAGCGACCTGGAGAAATTAAGTGACTTGGTGGCACCTCAAGGCTTTGTCTGCGGCAGGCCATCCAGTTTCCAGCTTTCTCCCATTACTGGGCGCCTTCTTTGCATCCCAACTACCCGACCGTCCCTGGTTAGGACTCTCTACCTGGTCCTCAGCTGCTGTCATGGATGCTTAATCATTGATCCCCTTCTGGGTATTTTTGGTATTGCTTTTTCCTGTTTTCATGGAAAATTTTCAAACATAAAGGTAGAGAATATAATATAAATAACTCCTATGTGCTCTCACCCAGCTTCTACAATTATTAACATATGGCCGATCTTCTTTTATGTACACCTAGCCCCAGATTCCCCTGCTGCACAGGTGATTTTAAAGGAAATCCAAATATCACGCAATTTCATCTGTAAACACTCCAAGTGTAATAGAAGAACCCTCTCATACATACATATATATCTACAATACAGTGATCACAACTAAAAAAAATGAACGATAAGTCCTTAATATCCAATTTCCCCGATTGTCTGTCTGTCACTCTTTTGCAATTGATTTGTTAGAATAAGGATCCAGCGGAAGGTTGGGTTGCAGGTATCAGGCAGAATGATTAGCTGCTCATTCAAAGTTCTTGCATGAGGATGTTTGCTGAATGAGAGGGAATAAATTACATAAGAAAAATACTTTATGCTAATTATAGATCACAGTTACCTATGCCTTTATACTTCCTAAGCTTCTTTGACCCATGACCTTCATGTCCGGAGATGTTATGGGATCCAATTAGTGGTCCAGCAGAGATCACCTGTTTCCTGAAAACAACAAAGCACCATGATAACCTCCAACTCATTAAAATTCTAGCCTCTCCTTTTAAAAGGAGAGGCTCAAGAGATTCTCACCCTCTTCGAGACACTTTTTTTTTTAGAGAAGCTCCTGTAACCTTCACAGGAAGCCTGTGAAGTAGGTGCCTTCGTTCTCATTCCACTGAGGAATCCCAGGCACAGAGGGGCTGAGACATTTCCTCAAGGTCACCCAGCACCAGCATTTAAACTCTGTAGTATACTAATATATTACACCACCTGTAATATACTAGTATCGATTACAAGGCAACTGTAATTTTCAGTGTTGAAAAGTCACCTTGATTAACTTTATCATTTTTCCTTTTTAGAATATGGCTTTGATTTATGAAATAAAATGCCATTTAAGGCAATTTCGACTCTTCAGACATTTCATCAGTGCGGATGTGATTTTTCTTTTGTCCGAATTCATGAAATTTTATACGACTTCCGACTAAATCATTAAGAGCTGAAAATAAATCCTAGACTCTGGACCTGTCCCACCTCCCCCGGCCAATGGCTAAGGTCACAGCGTCCCCGCCTTGGCCTGGTCCTGCTTACTCTGTCTTGGGCTTTCAGGAGCAATCAAAGCCCTTTTTAGAAAATATTTCCTGGTTGTCTGTGGCCTTGGATGGACAGAGTTTTCCACTAGGCTTTTTTTTTTTTTTTTTTTTTTCCAGCCACACTGGCCCTTAAGAAGATGTTACTCAAGACTCCACACCTACTTCAAACATGTTTAGGGGCCCTGGCTGGGTCCTTGGGTGCGACTGCCAGGAACCCTACGGGAGGTGGAGCCCCGACTTGGGACCTGGCCTCTGTCTCGGTGCTGAGAGCCCGGGGGCCCACTGTCGCTGGGGGCGACTTTCTCAAAGGTCCCCCCACAGCATATCCTTGTCAGGCAGCCGCTGCTCCAGCTGCTTCTCCCATGTTTCTGTCCCTGATGGGATAACCCCCCCTTCTTTTTTTTTAAGGGTTTTCTCCCCAAGTCTGTCTGTCAGGGAACAGCTGTGCTCTGATATTAGATAGAATGTTTTCTGTGCTCACCACGAGCTTAGGAACAAAAGGGTTTTAAGAACCCTGATAAATGAACAAGGTCCTTGGAAAGATGAAATGTTACCAGCATTGCAGACAATCACAATCCTTGTGCATCTCGAAGGCTTTGGCCTTTGCAAAGCAGAGGGCCGGGCGGGTATTTGGTGGTGGAGCCTTGGAGACTGGGGTTTTTTTCAGCCTCCATCTGGACCCGACATGGGAAAGTTGGTTGGAAGGTGGCCTTTTCGCTGTCATCAAAGCCCTGAGCTGCTTTCCCACCGCTGCTTGTCCGGGGCCGAGGCCCCGTTGAAGGGGGTGGGTTTTGGGTATTCTGTCTGCACAGAGGCCATGGCTGGGGTTTCTGGTTTCTATGATCTTCCAGGTGGAGGTGTTGAGGTTCTATCCTCCCCCAAAGCATGCCCAGCATCCTTGCTTACACGCTGCCTGCCTGCAGGGGCCAGGCTGAGCGCCGGACAGTGGCCTCTTCCATCTGCCAGTGATGTCTTGAGTCCCCACCCCTGACTTTCAAATGAGGAAAATGAACCTTGGGGAAGTTAACGGACTGGCCCAAGGTCCTAGCAAGCAAGGGGTGGAGCCAGCATTTAAACCCAGACTTGGGGGAGCCCAAAGCCTTGGCTTCTTTGGCAAAAGTGGCTTCCCTGGGTGTCTGGCCAGGGGCTCCTAGTCTGTTCCGTGGTCCCACTTCTACGGAGGACCTGCTTCTCACCAGAGCCTCTCTCCTTTCTCTAAACCCTTCTCCTCACCCCACCCTCCTCCATCCACACCCCTGAAGGATGTGCTCTGGTCCTTAATGCACCCTTTCAAGGTCATCCGACCCCAGCTTACTTGCTTTGGTTCACTTACTGCCCAGTCCGCTGCCCAACCCAGACATTCACTCCCCAGCCCAAGCTTCTTCCTGGTACCGCCCTGCATGGGAACAGAAAGGTCAGGGCGTGAAGATGACAGATGGAAAGAAAAGCCTCTCTCAGCCCGCAAGCTCTGTGAAATCCTTCATTATGGGATTTCCCTTGTCAGGGCTGCAAGGAGAAGCCCGAAGGCTCACAGCAAAAATCTATAACACATAAAGGAACTGTCCACACGGGAGCTGCCCATCACAGTGGAAACATATGACAAGCAGCCCCCAGGGTGAGGGTAGTGGGGGGATGGGCAAGGAGGAGGGGAGTGGAGAGGAAAGAAAAGAGGGAAATGACCAGCCTCATGATTTCATTTCCTGCCTGTTGGCACCCTGCCTGCTCTCTCCTCTGCAGAGATCCGAAGGTCTTTTAAAAATGCAGCAGGAAGGATTTAGGTTAGACTCTAAGTAGCGCCTAGAGACCTGGGAATTGATCAAGGTACCTCCTTCTCTGGAAACTTGTAAGAGCAGGGTTCAGACTCACCACTGGGGGAGGTTAGGGGTGGGCTAGACCCACGACTTTGGTCCTGTGGATTCAGGAATGAGCCTCTTGCCTTTGGAGGGTTCTCTTCTCAAGCCAGGCGGGGTCAAGTTAATAAGTCCACCACATGAGAAACTTCCAAGAGGTGGGCACGTATGGAGCAAACCCCAGAAACTCCTGTCTGCAGCCACACGCGTGCACATCTCTTCCTCCTCTGCCCTCCTCCTTCCCAAGTTTTCTAATTTCCTTTACTCTCTGAAGCTTACATTACTCCTATGGAAAAACACAGACAAAGCATCTTTCTTTGGGGCTTTTCATGTCGATCAAAAGATTTGCCCGGGATACAGAATTGATCACAAAGCACATGTCTCCAGCAAGTTGGGGAGAAAACGGAGGGTGGGTTCTGGTGCCCAGACGTGGTGAGGCTGCCCAAGAGTGACGTCCTTTCCCACCACTGCCCCGCAAGAGCTCCCTACACCTCCAGGTTCTTTTATGCAAAAGGGAGGCTGTGAAAAGTGCAAAGACATTTTCACCGTGACCTCTGGGAGTATGTCGTGCCACCTGGAAAGGGTGTGGCAGTGGCAATGTGGCCTGGGGAAGGCTCCACGGCTTCCATGCCAGCGAACCAGCCGTGAGACCTTGGGCAAGTCATTTCACCCCGCTCTGGTCTCTGCTTCTCCTTTGGCCAAAAGGGGTTTATCTGAATTATCCTGCTTACCTCCTGGGGAACTCATGGGGATCAAGTGGAATAAAATTTAGAAAGTCCTTTACGAGGTTGAAAGTGACCCTTAAGTGTGATGGTTGCTATTCTGGGTTTCAGAGAGCGACGGGCGAGGAATAGAAACAAACAATAGGCCACCCACCCTCTCCTGCCAGGATTTGCCAGGGCCCTGTCGTGGCAGTGACCATGCCCTGCCAGAAGCCGTGGGAGGAGAGGGGGTGCTGAAGCCAGCAGCATTTGGAACCGTGGCTGGTGAAAACACCCAGCTCCCTGCTTGCCGGGCTGCTCCAAACCCCAGGAAAGGCAGAGCTTCTGTGGAAACTTAAGCCGTGCCTGCTGGACTGGACTGGGGTGGGAGTTGGCCGCACCTGCCAAATGGTGGGCTTGGAGGGGGAGCGACAGCTGGAGGGTAGAGAGCTGGGTGGGGTGGGGTCGGAGACCTTCCTGT